ATATACAACGTTGAGTCAGCGTCACCGATCATAAATGCGGTATCGGTATTTCGTCCATTTTCGACACGGTATTTCGGTATTTGCCAATTTTTCGTACGGTATTGCAGTATTGGGCACCCCCCAATGTCCCCCTCTTTAAATGAAACTAAGCCGTTAACTTTCTGTTTTTCCTTGATTCCAATGTATCTTTTGTCAGGGTTTTAAAGTAAAACTGAAAATTCGTGACTTAGCTTATTTACGGCAGAGGGGTATTCAAATGTTTTGCCAGCCTGCTAACAAGCTGTCCATCAGTGAGCGAGTGAAACAAGCCGCGCAAGAACGCTCAAGCGAGCGGCGAACCTCGCCCGCGCGTCTCCTCTTTTGTGACGCTCTCACGCATGTACTTTTCACGATAGACCTATCCCCCAAATGGAGAGCTTTCTCGCAGGCTAATGTTTCATTCTCAACTAACACGACGGACAAATATTCTCACAAGCAGCGATATCTGATTCACATGTGCGAGTGGTGATACCCGCGGTGATCTGAACAGCTAAAGAAAAGCTAGAATGGATAGCCAGATATGAGACCTTATGGACGATCCTGTCATATCTTTAGCTGAGGTGTTGTTGGGTGATGAACGAAGGATGAGTATCTGTATGGTATATATATCTACATTAAATGAATCTTTGAGCCCCGGGGTTTGAGATCTACTAACTATTTCTCACAGTCTATTTTAAGGGGCAGTGTCACTGCTGGGGAGTTCATTTTTGTTTATCGATGCCAGTATAGCCTGGGAACAGGCTCCGAAGCAGGGGAAAAGGAGAAAAATAACGGCCAAAGAAGCGAGCCAAGAGGAAGCCTGAGGAAGGGGAAGAGTGGCGCCGCTCTTTTCTCCTCCCAAGGCCACTGCTCGGCTCGCTTCTTTCGCCGATATTTTTCCTATTTGACCCCGTTTTTTTTTCCTTTTTCTCCCATTACGGAGCCGTACCAGGCTAATCCCAGTTACGCTATGAAACTTCAGAAGTTACCTTTGAGTCACAAAATCACAGCTTCATGTCTCCAAAACATCATATCAATCGTTACAAACAACAGAAATGAACTTTGAAAAACGTTTAGGTGAACAAGTTTTCCAAAACCATTATTGTCGATTTAGCCGAAAGGAAAAAGTAAATACCTAATTCAGTGACAACAAAATATTTGTGCTAGATCTTTACGCTCTACAAGGGGATCACACAGCGCTTGGTTCAGAACACTGTAGGTAGCAGCTGAGCCGTCCCTTTGTTTCCAGGCTAACAACATGAAGTATGCTTTTTCGGATATTTGTTTATGGCTATCATCAAATTCTTGCAGCTTTGCTTCATTGAAGTTTAACCGTCGCCCAAGCGTTCTCCAATCGTTAGAGATTCTTTTTGATAGACTTTCTAGTACAACGTCCGTTGGACTGCCTTCCATCTGTCGCCTAAGTTCCCGTAAGTCCGAACGAACGGCCGTACCCTGAGTGGGTGTTCTTAAGTGCAATCTACACAATAGAGGCATTGAGGCTTCTAAGATGCTATAAAATTGCACTCGAGCTGCGTCTTCGTCATCATGAAAACGAACCTCCAACTCTGCATCGTCTGCATCGTCCTCTAAAAGGTTAAGATAAATTTCCTCCATGTCACTCTTTACGTGAGGGTATATTCCTTTTGATACAAACACGAATGCCTTATCGTACCCAGGTACCATATCTTTCTTCGAGTTTTGCCAAACGGGCTTTATGCCTTGTTTTTTAAGCCGCGTTACCACCTCTTCTTTAAGGTGAGCAGGGCAACACATCACACACAAAATGGTTAAAAAATCTGGACGAAAGTAGGCGAGGAAGACTGTCCGTCTGGGCGGAAAAATGAGGCTGTTAAGGAAATCTATTATTCTTTGTACAGAAACCCGGGAGTTATCGTTTCTCCTCTCAACGTAATGCGAATATCCAGAGAACCGTTCCACATTGAACCTTACAAAATTTCTATCAAGACTTGGCGGTTTCACAAGATCATCAGTGATTTCAATCCATTCTTTTTGGTCATGATCGGACTTGAGGAACAGCACTCTGACGAGACATGTTGTGGGGTTTAGGTTCAAGTCTTCTCGCTCTCGAAGAGAAATTGGCAGCTGAATCGTGACAGGTTTCAAAAACTGAACAGCTTCAAGACATTTGATTCTCAATACAGGTCCAAGAAATTTACCCTCAGCTTTAAATTCTTCATTTGAAACTTCTTGAACCTTTAACTCCAACGGAAACTTTGCTTTAGGTGCAACAGCATTCTCAGGGATTGTAATTGTCACGTCTGGGAAGTCAGGATGGCTGAATAAACCTCCACCAGATGTGATGGGGTAAATTGGAGAAGCCTTGAGACGACAAACTACTGCGTAGGTTGAGCACTCAGATACATCAGCTTGGGCAACGGGAAAGAAAAAGTCCGGTATTTTCATGTGGGAAGGGAGATTGTCTTCGAAGTCTTGACGACAACGTATGTCCCTGGTTCCATCCACGTCTTCCCAATAATTCGTCTCCTTGTCAATCAGCTTTTTCATCACTAGCTCGTAGCCCTGTAGGTCTGTTGCGCTGTGAGATAACGACAGCTTCACCTTGGTGTTAAATTTTAGTTCTTGACCGTTCAAGGAAGATAGTTCAATAACATTGCTAGTGATTGCTTCATGCTCCTGTAGCGGGGGTGAGCGGACACCGTATTTCCTTCTGCAGACCACGATTGTCGTACGCTCAGATACAGCATCAGGAGGGAGCATCAGGTGAACCGTCCACGGTTTGAAGGCCCAGCTGGTACCTCCACTTGTTACTTCAATAACTTTCTCCCCTTCTGCATCATCTTTAGTTTCAGTTTCACACACAGACTTTTCTTCTACCTCAGCCACTTGCTTATGTACTTCAGCATCTTCTTCTGACTCTTCTGTGAGCACTCCTTGTGATTCTACTTTAGCCCCTGCGCAGATACAAAAACAACATGTCAGTGTTCCATGTTGTTTACGAAGTTGCAGAAACTATGTAAAACATCTACACCTATTGACTACTGCCACAAGGCAATCGCTTTCTTTCTGGCTATCTTTGTTATTTGTAAACCAAGATATGTCTGAATTCGTGAACATGTTACGTTGCCACTGGGTTTGCGTCTGGAGGCACAGGTAGACAGCCCAGGAACAGCCCTAATATTGGTTTGGTGGCCTACGTCAGCGGATAAAAGCAGAGAGGTAGCTAGAGAGAGTAACTTTAAATGAAGCATTATCTTGCTGCTTTTCTTTGATTCCAAAGTATGTCTCTTCTGAAGGGTTTGAAGTAAAACTGAAAATTCGCAACATAGCTTGTTTATCGAAGAGGAGTATTCAAATATTCATTCACTAGGCTGCGAACAAGCTGTCCATCAGTAAGCGAGTGAAGCGTGCCGCGAGAGTGAGCGGCAAATAGCTCTCTCGCGTGCGTATGTACTTTTCACGATATCCCCCAAATGAAGAGCTTGCTCGCAGGCTGTTTCACTCTCAATTAACACGGACAAAGATTCTAACAAGCAGCGATATCTGATTCACACTTGCAAGTGGTGATATCCGCCGTGATCTGAATAGTTCAAGAAACGCTAGAATAGATAGCCAGATATATAAAGAGGATGCCGAGTATCTATGGAACTTTGAACCGGGGCTTTGAGCACTATTAACTATTTCTCAATGTCTATTTTAAGGAGCAGTGTCACTGCTGGAGATTTCATTTTGTTTATCGATGCCAGTTTAGCCTGGGACCAGGCTCCGCAGCAGGGGAAAAGGAGAAAAAAATCGGCGAGCGAAGCGAGCCGACATTTTTCCTTTTAGACCCCGTTTATTGCCTTTTTCCACCACTGCAGAGCCTGGTCTCGGGCTAATGACAGTTATGCTGTCTCCAAAACATCACATCAATCGTTGCAATCAACAAAACTGAACTTTGAAAAATTATCAGGTGAATAAGGTTTCCAAAACCACAGTTGAAATCCTTTTTAATCTGTTTGTCGATTCCTGCTTCCTTTTGTATTTGTTGTGTCATTTATACCTTCTTCTAATAGTTTTTGAGTGGTTATTGTTATGTTTCACTCGATTTTCTGGCAGTTCCCCCTGCATAAATTTTGTGAAATTTGGTAACACAGCTCCTTAACTAACGGAAGTTGGGGGAAGTGTAGCTTTGACTTGCGCGATGCACTACCCCCCTCCCCCCCAATTTGTTTACCCTTTCTTCAGGCATAGGCCACTTCTTTTATATTGATTGTTTTGGTACTGAAATGTCAAAGATGTCAATAAAGTTGTTGCTGTTGTCATATATAAACAGTAAAAATCTTCGAATGCAGAGTTCCACTCAACGCGTAAATAAAACCGACTGGTTCTTTCTTGCTGATGCCAGACGTCACCTCAAGTGGGAATGAAAACAAAACTGAATGCAAGGCTGGCAATACGGCAAAGGGCTGAATATTTACGCTAACATTAGCCTTCCTCAGAGCCTGAGCTCTGGCCCTGAGGAAGGTAATTTTGTTAGCCGAAATATTGGCCTCAAATACATCTGCCCTTTGCCGTATAGCCTGCCTTGCATTCACTTTTGCTTGAATTTCCACTTCTTTTAGGTTCTCGTTGATGAGATGTATACGGCGCACTGATCACTATTGTCCGTAACGTTAGGTGTCTGATAGCGTTTCCAGTCATTCGAATCACATAAAAGTGTCCGCTGTCCGTTGCAATAACCTGGACTGTCCGTTCCAATAACCAGTTACTGTCAGGACAAAAGGAAACTGTCCGTTATTAACCGGGTGTCAGTAAAGCAGATTCCACTGTATTGACGATCATCTCTTACACTGCATTCTGCAGATTTAAAAGGGGGAGTGCGCGTGCGTCATTTGAATGTCTCGCGCGTTTCGCTTGACCGACTGCGAAAAAGTAGAGACTACTCGTTGTCTAATCATCTTCTTATCTATTCTATGCTCACATGCTGAGTGAGCAGAAAATACACTGAAAAGCAAATT